GCAGGGAAACTCAGAGCTGTAGGCCAGGGAACTGAGCTGTCTAGAGGGTAGAGAAGCACCTGATACCTAGGAAAACTAAATGTCAGAGTCTTACAACAATATCTTTCCTTTCTTCCCATAGAGGAACCGGGACATACTGAACTGAATTCACCAGACTGCCTACGAAGGTCTGTGGAAACCTTCAGGGAGCAGTGAAAAACAACTACCCAGATAATCCCTGACAAAAACCAGCTCAGGGGCATTAGATGTCTGTGAATATACAAAACAATATATATTCTATGGGATACTAAGAGTTCAGGACATTTCTTAAAATTGCAGTGCAATTACCACAAAATTACAGTGGCATTTTTACACTGTCAGGACTTCCATGTGCTACCCTGTGGCTGGTGTATATGATTGGGCAGGAACAACTGCTGCTTTTCAACCAAGAAAAAAAAAAAAGGCATTTATTTAATATATTTAATGTATTTCCAGATAGGGTTGTATTTATTATAATTAAATGTTGCAAAATGCCATGTTGTAATCTTAAGCATTTTTCTATTTCTTTATTCCTAAAGACACCAGAATCCTGAAATTATTGTATTTGGGAAAAGTGATGGGATTGCCAAGACTTTATGCTGTAAGTCTTTAGGAGTTTAGTAGATTTATTATTTTCCTTCAAATGAATGCCTTCTTGTCATTGTCAACCTTCCACTGCTTATCCCCACCTCCAACTCCTTAGATCCAAGCCTAAAAAAAGAAGCTCTTTGGAGCTTGATGCTTTGCTTGTATCTGTGTTAGAGAAACTGTGCTATTCTGGAAACACTCAGGTTTCTCCAAATAGTTCTTCCAGGGGTAACATCATGCATGGTTTTCATCTCAGCCATAAGAACTTTCACTGGTCTCCTATCAAGTACCACCAGCAAAACCCCAAGTACTGGCAAGGCCTAAAAAATGTGTGTGTATGTGACTACGTGCACATGGATGTATGCACATAGGATCATTTATTCTCATGAAAGAGAGGTTTAATGGCCAGTTTTGAAACCACCCCAGCACCATTACAGCAGACTTATCCTGCAGGCTTGCTCTGACATACAGCACTGACACAGACTTGCAGATCTGACCCAGCCACCACTGGGAGGTTTACTGATGGGATATGTCTTTTGCTCTGGACAAGCCATCACCTCTGTCTGTCCCTGCAGTGGAGGCAGAGGAGGGTTCTACATGCCTGTATGATGGCCTATGCCTCAGGAAAGCCCCTGCCTAGGCTGTGTCAGCTTAGGTTTGCATGAAGGCAGCTTTGTACAGGGATGGGACTGCGCTACACCAGAATATCACCCCCACACTTGTGCTGATCAGCAGCAGCACAGTTTCTTACGCAGACTGAGTTGTACGTTTCTCTTCAAGAAATATTTTATCAACCTTGACTGGAATAAAAGCACTGACACACGGGGAAAACTGTCTGCTATTATTTTACAGTTATAAAGAACATGAATCGCATGATGAACCAAATTCTCCTATTGCAAAGATTATTTGTTACATGAAACAGCTAAAACAGCAGAAAGAAGCCATTCCTGGAATTCACAAGGAAAAAGATTTTTCTTTACAGCAGCAAAGCAGCACCATTGTCCCACTCAGCATATTAACACTCACAGTAAAAGATGGCAGTTGCAAAAATGTGGGGGAGTACAATTAAATCAGTATTTCTTAAATAGTTCTGGAGTGTGCAAGCTGATATTTTGGAATAATAATGGAGAATGCACCATGTTCTGAGCTGTCAGAGTTTCTGAGGGGGCAGATTCAAAGGTCTTGTGTCACTTAATACCTCCAAATCTCCAGATGAATGGAACAGGAGCAAACAAGACAGGGTGTTGTATTTGCATGTTGGATGAGCTATATTTTGTTTTCTTTTTTTCTTTTTTTAAGCAAATCCATAATTTAAATGCTGCTGTGATTGAAAACTAAAATTGCACAGTATCATACACAGATCTCCTACAGATAGTATGAGTTGGTGCATATGTGTGTGCGTGTGTTTGTGCTGTAATTTAAAATATAACATTACTCCAAGCTAAAAACATTTAGGAAACTCCTTTGAGAGAAAGTCTTCACCTCAAAAAGGGGATCCATGGTAATGAAAATCAGTGTGGCAGCCAGAAATAGCATTTAAACCTTTACCAGAAAGATATGGCACATCAAAGAAGTTAAATCAATCTTCCATCCTTCCATCCCAAATATCACGCCTGCAAGACAAGCATCCCCTTCTCTGTGCTGACAACTACGCAGTTGTTACTTGTCCCCATCAGTGTACACTGCATGCTGTCTTTGCCACCACCCTCTCTCTCCATCTCCAGACATCTGATCTGCAGTCAATGATCTGGATTAACAGGAGCAGTTTTGCATGGGCAGTGACACTGCAAAATACAGTGAAACCGAAGAAATGTGGACCTTTACCTTGTGGGCAGCCACAGACGCTGGGATTTCGGTTTGCAGCATGGCTGAGACTAAACTTGGTATCATAACAAAGTGTGGGTCTAAATAAAAGTTGCCTTAAACCCCCAGGAGATTTGCTGCTTCTACGTGATGACAGTTGTTAGAGAGCAGCTCTCCTACAGAAACAACCATACCAAATATAGCGTGCTGGAGTAAATGCAAGAGGCAATGCTGGAAGAACACAAAAAATGTTTTGCTTTCTCTCTGAATGCAACGCTATTTCTGTGAGAGGTCAAATAGATGCCATATCTTAAGGGATTTGGGTATTTGTCCCTCTAGCTCTGTGATTCCCTCAGTTATTAATACAACGCAGCCATTTTCAGAAGCTCCTGGTCTTTCCTGAGGCTGTGCTTTGGGTTGAGAAACTCCTTCATGTACCAGCCCCAGAGAAGCTGGTGAGCAACATTCTCTCCCAGATGACTGCCAGCTGCATTGAACGTAGGCCACCAGGATGCCCTAATTGTGTCACCTTTCCTACTGGTCTGCTGTTGATCGGTTTCCCAGATAGTCTTGATTCAGCCATGTATTCATGCAGGCAGAAGATGCAATTGGGAGAGGAAGCAGCCAAACACAGTCATACAGACATTTGCCTGCTTTACCACAATGGTGTATTTTCATAGAATGATAGAATGTCTGGGGTTGGAAGGGACTTTAAAGATCCTCTGCTTCCCACCTCCCTGCCATGGACACGGACACCTTCCACCAGACCATTTTCTGTCAACTTCTCTGCTGTCCCTTTCCTCCAGTTCTGCTCAGAATGGCATGTGGATTCCTCACGCAGCTGCTGTGACCCACAGGAACTTTGCAAGCCTGTAAGACAGAAAAGTAGTGACCTTGCCTGGAAACTTAGGTACACCAAAGCCAAAGGGAAAGCTCTTCCAGTCCATGGAATGCCTGGATTTTTACCTGCGGATTTTAACCTTTGTGTTCAAAGCACAGCAGGCAGCAGTGCTCGTAAAGGAGCTTATAGGAAGATTCATTCTTTGGCCTTTTTTTCCACACAAGTTTTCTTCTGTGCATCCACTTTTTTTTTTTTTTTAATTTTTTAAAAATTTTTTAAATTTTTTTCTTATTTGGAGTTCTTCTAACTTCAGCACACAAAGCAGAATGCAGCAAAACCCCTTGTATGTCAGTACAAAACTGTAGCAAGAAATGGTTTCGATTGAAGCTGAACCAGCTTTCACCTACCTCGATCCATAACCCTTTCCGCTCCCCTGAGAAGCAACCTTACTGGAAAATGCTGCAAGCAGACGAGTCTGGTGTGGGTCTGTGGCAAGCCAGAATAAAACACAGTCACACTGCTAAGTGCTGCTCTGGGCTGTGAGAGGGATAAGATGTCCCAGCCCTTTTGTGTCCCTACAAAGTACATGTTTCCACACTGCAAAACGCGGGTCTCGCTTGCTATGGGGAGAGACAGAAACTGAGTGATACTTTCCTTAATGACCCTTGCTATAACATGCCCCTATGGGTACCAAAGGTGGACTTGCCTAAATAAAAGTGAGTGTTTGGACTGCTACGAAATGGGAGATGTCATAGGGTATGGCTGGGCCATCTGTGACTGCCAGCGCGGCGGAGCTTGCCTGATGCTTGAAACATCATCAACAATCTCAGCTATAAGCTCCCACCATTTCATTTTAAAATTAAAGCAATTTTATGAGTAATAGGAGCACATTCATGCTTGGAAACAGTAGAGCACTTAGAATCCTTTTCTATTTCAGCACTAGAAAAAAGAAAGGGACAAAGTACCAGGAAATATTGTTTCTTGGCTGAACCCTTGTAGACTGAGTTTTGGTCCAGAGTGGGTTTTTTTTGCATGACTCAGTGGTAAGTTTCTGAACAAAGAACTTTATGATACAGAGGCAATACTGTAAAAAGCATTTAACTCTAGATGTGCTGGAGGAAGTTTTGAAAACTTCTGCTATCTTCTCAGAGCAGTGCTTGCAAACAGATTGAAACCTTCCTTGGGGATTTCTGTAACAAAGTGGGTAAAAATTTAAGTGCTTTGTAATCTCTGTGAGAAGAGATAGTATCAGGTAGAGTAGATAATTTGAAATACTTAGAGCAATGATGCTTTTGAAAGCCTTACTTCATTCTCGGAAAAACTAGTTAGTAGCAAAATTACCTTCCAAAAGCTTCTCTGCATACTCTCCTAATGAACTTCTGATTTACATGCAGGTTTTAGATATGACTTGTCTCTTCTAATGTAATTTTCTTCCTTTTATTCTAGGCAGATTTCTGTTTTAGGGGGAAGTATTATGTAGTGTAGATAGCTGCTGTGGAGGAATTATTACAAATACCTCATTTGTAAAGCTTTTGTTCTTCCACTCTGAAACCCCACATCTCACTTCTCCAAGGAGGAGAGGATATTGTGTTTGACTTATGACAAAGCCTAAAGCATTCTTAGGATTAACTGCAACTAATCACTAAAACATGCCTTCTCATTTTGGGACTGTTGTGATTCTTCAACATAGGAAAAGTGCTTCCTATTTCAAAATCTATTTCACTTCTAATTTTTTTTTCTCTCCCCAAAGGCTAGGTCTGGGCCTGTGCCTTCCTTATCAGCATGTCTATTAATGTCAAGACTGAGGACATGAGAAGGTTGAAGTGACCAGTGCACGGCAGTGAAAAAGATGCCAGTACAAGGATCAAGACCAAAAGTGATCAGACTTCAGACAGAGAAGGAGTAGGAAAATTGCTGAGGTCTCCACATAGGTGTCTGATAACAGTCCCACCAAGGTGAAAGTAAAACTGTCTTACAACTCAGCCTCTTCTCCCTAGTGCCCGTGGAGGCAGCTTCCAGCATGACACATCCCATCTTTGCCTCTCCAGGTAAGACTGGGATATCAGTATGAGAATTAGGCAAATTTTTACTTCTTTTGATATATAGTAACTGCTGTATCTATGATAGGATATATTTATGTAATTTATTGAAGGATAATGCTGAAGAAAGGGATGTCAGATGCTGTGCTGGTATTTAGAAAACTGACCACTAATCTAGTGATTTCCAAAAAGCCACTCTGAGTTACAGCATGGAATAGAAATTGTCTCAAAAAGTGAAATAAACTTGTGCTTCAGGGCATAAACAAGCTTCATGAAAGGTTGGGATAGGAATAATATCCCCTTCTGACACATTACTTTATAATTGCAGAGTATGGGACTGCTTGCATCGTTCTCTGAAGGGTCTAGTGCTGGTACTTCTAGACACTAGGTAAGTAATTTTTTACATTTATAGGTTCTTCAACTTCTTTCAATGGAAATATAAGTTTTCAAGGACATTTTACACAGGTCAAATACTATATAGAGACAAAGAACTTCATTTCCTCAATTACATTTCATGATCGCATAAGGGGTAGTTCACAGATGCCCGGGGACTGATGAACCTCATGATGAAAACCACAAGATAACTCAGACCAAGAATCAGATTCTGTCTGACAGTTTTCTAATACCTGATGTCTTTAAACCAATGCTTGATTTTTATTTTTTCTAATTGCAGAAGACATGCTTCAGTTCAGCCAGAAAATATGAACTTGAGGGAAGAACTTAAAAGTCTGTGGCAAGTTTATAAGGACTGATGTGCCATTTGATTGTAATTGTTTAATTCTAGACTGAAAATCAATGAATATACAAAATTTCATATTTCTAAGAAAACAAAGACATAAATCTACAGCCATGTTGGCAAATGATGTGCAGATATCTCCTTGGGGAATCTGCAAAGAAGGCCCACATTTGTGGGAAGGGTGTTCCCAGGATTATGTCACCTACATGTATCATGAAGGAATTTTCTCCTTGGCTGCTCAGATGAGGATTTTTAACAGTTACCTCCCATTTACTCCATAACATTTCATTGCTGAGTAACTCATACTTCTTCACACTGTTTTAGTTTGATGGCATGTACAAGTAATGCAGAGACCTTTCTTTCCTAGAGAAAATTAAGAAAATAATTAATTCTTTCACTCAGCAACTCAACTGAATTCAATTCAATTCAGGTTCATTCTTTTAGGAAAGGTATTTAGCTAATTTTGTCAAATTAAAATATGAAAGGAAAAATGTCATGCTTCCTCCACTGAGAATTTTATTTTGCAGAGGGAGAAACTAGCATAAAGCCTTAGAAGGCTCAACTCATATCTGTAATTTCTGCATATTACTAAACACTAGCATACACATATATACATGGCACAAAATCTCAGCAATGCACTTTTCATGTTGATTTGGCTTTTTGGTTTCATTTGTGAGATTTTCTTTTCCTTATATTTACTTTAATAAAGTAAATATATAAAGTGTATTTGCCAGATGCATTATATGCATTATATGCATCTGTGTAATAACAGGACAGGAATGTCAGCTGCACTCCATCCCTTAAGAGAGAGAGAAAAAATATTATCTGGAAATATCTATGGCACAGGGCCCTGCTGGCAGCTGCTGATCTCATTCCTATCCCTCACATGGGGTTGTTAACACAAAGACACATCAGGGAATGGCCGAGTATTGGTAAGGCCATGACCAAAGTGAATATTGATTCTCTTTTTCCTTGGTGTGACTGGCTGCGTAGAAAACACTGATCACCAGTGCAGCCTTGAGAGAAGGTTGAATGAATTCATAGAAGAGAAACTCCCCTGAGAGCTACTGAATACACAGAAAACCAGTCTGGCTCAGGATGTGTCTGGGCTGCTAAAGGCTGTAAAGTACTTGGAGGACAGGGGAGATGCCGCTTGCACTTCTCTGATCTCATGCTCCTCGTTCCAAAATCAGCTTTTGGGCGTTTGCATTAGCTGCTCTTGTTTCATTATGCTTTTATTTACTGTTTGGAAGGAGACGAGGACTGGAAGCTGTCAAGGACACTGGCTGCAGGCACTGAGAGACCTCTCTTTCCTGAGGGCTGGCTGCAGCACAGAATTGACAGGCCCTGCAGTTGCCCAATAAGCATATTTCATATCCAGAATGAATTTTCCAGATTGCCTAAATGAGTTGAAACTGCAGGTTCCGTTGGCCAAGATCAAGTGACTCGCACATATTGGGAAACTACTTCCAGTTAGTTTTCTCTCTCTTTGTCTTTCTACCTGTGTTTGAGCATTTTCAATTATGCAGAAATGTATCATTAAGATCCACTTCTTTATATTTAAGCAGGCAAGGAACAGGGATCTTCAAACTTTGAGAGAACTGCAGAATACTTTGAAATATTTTAATGTGAACCACTCTTTCTCTGATAGAAAAACATATATTTCCTTGTTAATTCCGAGTCACGTTAACTGGTACTGGTAAGTTTGTACTCGCAAGCACAGCACACTAGGTGGATAGACTGCAGCAAAACGAGTTACATGTTGCATTTAGAAGCAAATATCACCTTTAAAAAATTTACCTGTCTGCCAAGACTTGGCAAAATGAGAAAGTTCATCTCAGTACTCAGAGCAGTTCCTCCCTTCCTGACTCTCCTCGTGGCTGCTGGGAATGCCTGGCATGTCAGGTAACACATGCTGAGCAACAGTCAAAAAGCCCTTCCGTTCTTGTAAAAGTGAAACAAGTTCCTTATTGAAAAAAAGCTATTTCCAGAGGTATTACAGCTGTAGATGATGCTGTAGGCTTGCTTCTCAGCCATCAGGCAGAGCCCAGGAGCCTGCCAGGAAACAGCTTTAAACAGTTTCAGTAGGTAACATGTATAACAGGGACTCCTCAGTCCCAAAGAGAGAGGTCCAGCTGCCTTGTGCCAGAGCGTCCTACCTTTCTTTACACCTTCATTACCCAAACAACACACACTAACAGCCAACATTAATATGAAACAAACAATAATAAAATATACCTATTTAATTGTTCACAGTCTGCTAAATGTGGAGGGGTCCTGGGACATCCTGCGCTAGTTTGACCTCCAGTTCTCTCCTAACTCATCTGCAGCTCTGCTGTTTCATGCTGGGAGATCTTTCAGTTTTGGCTTTGCCTTGCCTACTACATCATCTGCAGGGTAGGTGCTGTTCTCTCCTAGCGTGCCAAGTGGTTGCCCCTCCTGAGGAAGAGTGATGATTTTTTGAGGTTGTGGTGATCTGGTGTGACAGGTGGCTGTCTGACCTCTCAGATAGGAGGTCTCAACTAGCAGAGTCTCCTGTCTGTTCAAGACCTTACAAGCTAAATGTCTTCACAACCTTCTCCCCTTGGGCTTGAGGGTGGCATCAGGTGCTAGGGCTCTTTCACACTACAAGGTTTGTAACATCTGGCCAATGTCATGGATTATAACAATAAATGACACCACTTATTACAAACATCTCCAGGATTTTTCCAGACTTTTCAATGGTTTCCAGACTTCCTGTCCCCTGTATCTGTCTACAGTTATCTAGAAATGACAATAGACGCGATTTTGACATTTGAACTGAAAGTGGAGAGGCTATAGAAGGGTCAGACAGATGTGTATGATCTCACTTTCCTCTTTGTGTCATGGGACTTTGTGCATAACTGGCAATTACAGATATACCCCTGAAACTCACACCAAGCTTCTGACCTGTTGTTGCACACTATTTTATGCAGCATGTCATGTCCAACATGACTATAACGTCTTCTGACTTACTCAGATCCAGCTCTGTCTCCTACTTTTTTTAAATTCTCTCCCAGGAATTTCTCTTAGGCAGACTTCTTTTTTCATTATTCAGGCTCAAATCTGATTTCACCACTGTTTTGCTCCACATCAAAACCTCCAACCTCACTCCCTTTACACGTAAGGCTTCCAAAAGCCTAGAAAGCTGCTCCAAGGCAGCTGGTCTCGGTGGAGCTGGGGCAATGAGCTGGGGTGGCTGTACACGTTTCTGTTATTAAAAGCAAACAAATCTGTCCAGTTTGCTTGGCTTTTTTGTAGTTGTTGGTTTTTTTTATTCCCAAGTGTCAGGTCTATCTCCCTGCCAGCTCACTGCTCTCCCTGTCTGACAGTATTTGCTGTGGGCACTCATGCTTGGCCAAAGGATATGCTCTGTGACTTCGCTCAGGCAAGGCTGTCTACCACATGTTCAGTGTATGTTGAATAAACAATGTCAGATCTTTGCTGGAGCTACTGGGTCGCTACTTAAAAAAATGCTGGGAGTTAGCACAGGCACATCCCTCAGCGCCCATTGTGGGCAGTAGGTTACAGTGGTTGCTGGAGCCTCCCTCCTTGGCTGTCAAGGTTTTGCAAACAGACATCTGTGTGGTACTCCACACAGCGTGCCCTGCTCGCTGTATTGCCAGAGACATTGCTGGGCAGTACCCTCTCCTCACCTGAGAGCTTTGGAGTCCCAGTGACATGTGTTATAGTTGTCTGAGCACTTATCAGTGACTTCTTTGTGATGCTGGCTAGTCTCTCCAGGGCTGGATCTGTTTCTCTTAATAATTTTCCTTGCACGCTGGAATCCTGCAAGCAACCCTTGTTTTTAATTAGGGGCTCCATAATGTCTTCGATGATAGCATAGTGTCAGAGATCTTACATCTGAAACATAAGGCTCTATTGCCCCTTATTTTTATTCTCAGTTTTGAGCACAATTACTGAGTCCCTTTACAGTCTTATTCTGTCCAGGTCAAGTCTTCAAATAACTTTCTCGATGGTTCAATTGTTCCAAGTATTATTTTGAAAATAATAAGTGACTCTCTCGTGTCACTTCTTGTCCTCCGTGCTCAGTGAGACAGTAAAAAGTTTTACTTCCAAGTTTTCCCACTGTCTTTCATGACCAACTCCACGTATCAATTCTATGTTCACATGGACACCTCAGACTGGTTTTTTGACCTCTCAGTGACACAAGGCCCTTATGGCAGTTTGCCTGCTTCATTTCCAGGCTGTCTTTCTTTGCCTGGACAACAGGGCATTAGTCAGCAGGGCTGATGCTGCAGTGGTGTGTGTACTGCACTGGCTGATGACATAAGCTCTGTCCCACCTCTTAGAAAGGGACAGTTTATCTCCAGCTGCAGGTCACCCCCTTGCTGCGTGCTTCCTGATGTCACCTCTAAATGCTTCCTACATAGAACCTGTGCCTCACCCTCCCTGCTCTAGAACTGAGAATATAGAAATACTTGAATAAAAGAACTCAAAATAATTTCTGCTGTCCTTTATGGAGTAGCACTGCTACTGGTGTTAATAAGAGAGAAGTCCTGTTAGAGCCTGTTGCAAACATCCCTCAGGTAACTGTGGCAAATGAGGAAGCATTTAAAGGTGGGCTATGTCCTAATATCATGTTTCATATATTTGATGTTATTGCT